GGGAGTCAGGACTCCTGGGTTCTGTCCCCTGTTCCGGGAGGAGAGGGGGGTCTAGTGGTTAGAGCGGGGGTGGAGGGGGTGGGAGTCAGGACTCCTGGGTTCTGTCCCCTGTTCCGGGAGGAGAGTGGGGTCTAGTGGTTAGAGCGGGGGTGGAGGGGCTGGGAGCCAGGACTCCTGGGTTCTGTCCCTGTTCCGGGAGGAGAGAGGGGTCTAGTGGTTAGAGCGGGGGTGGAGAGGCTGGGAGCTAGGACTCCTGGGTTCTATCCCTGCTATGCCACTGACTTCATATGCAAGGTTCAGCGAGTCACTTCCCCTCGGCGGCGTCTCTCTTGGGAGGGTGGCGAGGCAGCGGTCGCGTGTCTGACAGTGACTCTCACGCTGGAGGCTGCGGTCCCTGCGGAGCGGCCTGAGAACAGGGGTTTGGGGTGGAGGGAAACGCCGGAGCCGCCCTTCCCCCACTCTCCCACGGCTCCGGCTCTGCGCCTGCTGTTCCACAGGTGGGCGATGGAGCAGCCCGTGTGCCTCATCGCCAACCCGGCCGACGGGCTGGAGGTGATGGAGGAGGCGCTGAAGGCCCTGCGTGGCGTGGATCAGCCCGTGGTGGTGGTGGCCGTGGCCGGGCTGTACCGCACCGGCAAGTCCTACCTTCTGAACCAGCTGGCCGGCAGGAGAACCGGTGAGAGACCTTCTGCTTCACCTCCCCCTCTGGGCCAGCCGTGAAATCCCCCGGCTCGCGTGAGTCTGTTATCGAGCCACGGGAACGTGGGGCTGGAAGGGACCTCGCGGGGTCGTCACGTGCAGCCCCCGGCGCGGAGGCAGGGCCAGGAACCGAGAGCGGCCGGGATGGGGGTTTGTCCAACCTGGGACCAATGTGTGCTGGCTAGTGGGCGACCATCCACATAGCTAACCCTGTACACAGCTGCTGTCTGTCTGTCTATCCCCGTACACCGCCTCTGTCTGTCTGTCTGTCTGTCTATCCCCAGACCCCACATCTATCTATCTATGTAGTAGCTGTACCATATATGCCCCAGCTGAGGTCCCCCCTTCCCCCGGTGCCAAGGGCAGTGTGACAACAACCTCCCGGGATCCAACCGTGTCTGTCTCTCCCCAGGGTTCTCGCTGGGCTCCACCATCGAGTCGCACACCAAGGGCATCTGGATGTGGTGCCTGCCCCACCCCCGCCGGGCCGGCCACACCCTGGTGCTGCTGGACACCGAGGGGCTGGGCGACGTGGACAAGGTGAGGGGGGCAGGAGCTGCCGAGGTCACTGGCAGGGTCTGAGCGAGGGGCGGCCTCTGTGTGCAGGGACCCAACCCCCCTCCGGTGAAAGGGGGCGCGTCACAACCCCCCGCTGCCCTGGGGGGCTGAGCAAAATGCTCCCCAACCCACAGACCTGAGCAAAAGGGGGCGTCTCCCCTGGCACCCCAGCAGGGAATGTCAGAGGGCAAAATCATTGCCCCGAATGGAATTTGAGTAGCACCCTGCTCCCTGCGGCACAGCGCCCCCTAGTGCCAGCCTGGGGCATCGGGGCCAGCCCTGACTGCCAGGGGAGAGCCCCCCACCTCGCCCCCCTGCAGCACAGCGCCCCCTAGTGCCAGCCTGGGGCATCGGGACCAGCCCTGCCTGCCAGGGGAGAGACCCCACCTCGCCCCCCTGCGGCACAGCGCCCCCTAGCGCCACATTGGGGCATCGGGGACCAGCCCAGCCTGCCAGGGGAAAGCCCCCCACCTTGCCCCCCTGCGGCACAGCGCCCCCTAGTGCCAGCCTGGGGCATCAGGGCCAGCCCAGCCTGCCAGGGGAAAGCCCCCCACCTCGCCCCCTGCACGCACAGCGCCT